CCAAACTTGGACATAATGATCAATTCCGGAAAATAAGCAAGTTCATGTCACCACTATTTGATAATGTCATTAGTCTCGTGACCTTCAGTAATTGAAATTTGGCATTTGTGGTGATGTCAATAGTCGTGGAAAATTTTATACATCTTGGCTATTTCTGCATATTGCAGCCAGGCTGCCGAAAGCTGTCAAAGCTTTCATGCTGTTTGCGACATAATATTTCTTTTGAGTTGAAAACGACCAGAAACCACCAAAAGAAAGGTCCTTAGAACGAGAAGTGTGACGTCTTTTTTCCTCGATGAAACGTTTGCGTTTTGCACACGCTCAAAAGAACTATTATGATGGCATTCGCTGGTTATTACATTTGAGGCCTACTGTTATAACATTTGGAGTCAGTTATTACATTTGAGGCCAACTGTTATTACATTTGGAGCCAGTTACTACATTTGAGGCCAATTACTACACTTGTGGCCTCAACGACCACTATATATAAGATTTACATTTACATTTACATGAAGCCCGCGTGATGCCGGTGGGACGTTCGTACTAAAAGCGTTACTATTGTTTTTCGTTGCAGGCGCGCATTGCCCTATATAACAATCAATTAGAAGTTCTTTCCATTGTGTTTAACGCTGCTGACAGCAACAGAGATAACTGGTTTGCTAAAGGTCGCTTGATTCATTCGCCATGGAACGACTTGGATACCGAGCAACAAAATGACTTTTCCATTCTTGGAAACTCGTCATTAGGCAGAAGCTTCTACATCAACAAGGCTAACAACGGTTGTGACGGAGATGTTGGATGGCTCATGGCGTCATCTGGGAAAATCTGTGCCTTCGAGTCCCGCCATTCCGAGACAGTCTTCATGTACAGTAAACTTACTACTAGCGTCAACTGGAATGATTACGGTAGGAAGTGTAACACTCTGTTATTCGCATTTAAGACGCATTGAACTCGCTCTTGCCGTTTTCACGCCCACGTGTTTTTAACAACNAAACCACCAAAAGAAAGGTCCTTAAAACGAGAAGTGTGACGTCTTTTTTCCTCGATGAAACGTTTGCGTTTTGCACACGCTCAAAAGAAATATTATGATGGCATTCGCTAGTTATTACATTTGAGGCCTCCTGTTATTACATTTGGAGTCAGTTATTACATTTGAGGCCAACTGTTATTACATTTGGAGTCAGTTACTACATTTGAGGCCAATTATTACACTTGTGACCTCAACGCCCACTATAAATAAGATTTACATTTACATTTACATGAAGCCCGCGTGATACCGGTGGGACGTTCGTACTAAAAGCGTTACTATTGTTTTTCGTTGCAGGCGCGCATTGCCCTATATAACAATCAATTAGAAGTTCTTTCCATTGTGTTTAACGCTGCTGACAGCAACAGAGATAACTGGTTTGCTAAAGGTCGCTTGATTCATTCGCCATGGAACGACTTGGATACCGAGCAACAAAATGACTTTTCCATTCTTGGAAACTCGTCATTAGGCAGAAGCTTCTACATCAACAAGGCTAACAACGGTTGTGACGGAGATGTTGGATGGCTCATGGCGTCATCTGGGAAAATCTGTGCCTTCGAGTCCCGCCATTCCGAGACAGTCTTCATGTACAGTAAACTTACTACTAGCGTCAACTGGAATGATTACGGTAGGAAGTGTAACACTCTGTTATTCGCATTTAAG